GGGGACATGCAATTCACTTGGGGAGGCATAATGTACAACTGAGGGCTAAGCAGTGGCATAAAACAGTGTAACTCCCCTTCCCATGTTTCCATGTGTCCCTGAGAGGGGCTGGTGCCACCTCCAGTGAGAATCAAAGGGTGGATGACCACTGTCTTCTTAAAGAGGCTTTTACTGAGAGTCCATCTGCATTCATAGTCGATATGTTTCATAATCTACATTCTGCTACAGGCAACGCTTGAGGAGGATGTAAGGACAATTCCCATGTGTGTAAATTTACACTATACTCTTTCTTCTGGCAGAAGTGCTGCCCATGAGTCCTTGTGCATAAACTGACACGCTCTGGCTTTGGACTTGGTGAACACTGAGCACACTCACCAGAGGAGCCTGCTTCGCACATGCGTGGGAGGCCCTGCCTGCAGTCCAGGCCGCCCTGGCTTCCAGCAGCAGAGCAGTGGATAACAGGCAATGATGGGGAGATGAAGGCAGGAAGGGACCCTTAGGTTACCCCATCCCCCCGCCAGGCCTGCCTTGCTGAGGAAATTCAGATCCTGCAGGATCCTTAAGCACAGTGTAGCCAATTCTTCATTGCAGAAATGTCCCCGAGGAGGCAGAATAACAGCAGCAGGGCCCGTTCCTGGGGGATAGTGCCTCTGGCTCTGTGTTCGCTGCTGAGCCTTCTGCCGCCCCTGCTCATTCACTGTCTCCTGTGGGCTCTCATGCTCCTGAAACAGGCCAGAGGGGTCATGCCCGAAAGCCAGCACCTCTGTTGAGTATGTTGCGAGTATCACCAAGCCTAAAACCCTCATTAGAAAGAGTCAGTCCCTGAGCTCAGGAGTGGTCTAAGGACAGGCAGCAACTTCCCCATCCTTAGCCAACACTGTGTGCTGGGGTGGGGGGGGCTGCAGGAAAGGCAGCTGAAGCACCCACTCTGACTTCCCATCTCAGCCAGGCCAGGCCCACCTCCCAGCTCTCAGCAGAGCTGCATGCACCGCCCCCCCCTTACCTGAAACCAAAGCAGGGCCCACGGGCTATGACTGAAAGCATATCAGAGGTTGATGGGGCTGAAATCAACCCCCAGGCTGCGGGTCTGCATTCTGAGACCAGAGCCACCTCCAGTGGGAGCTGTGAGACTTGGGGAGTCACCTTACCTCACCTGCCTGGGTCTCGGCCCCTCTTTTGAAAATGGGGTTGATGGAGTATCCACCCTGTGGAGCCACACGAGAGTGAGGGGGAGGGCTTGGTGGACTAGAATGCGTTTTATAAACTGGAAGAAATTCAGGGTGGCTCAGGCCACACTGACACCTGAATCTTTTTCTATCCTTTTCTAAGTCAGATAATCCCTTTCCTCCCCAAGCTGGATGTGAAGTCAGAAGGTCTGGGACTCAGATGTGGAGCTGTGACAAGGCAGGCTTTTCAGTCTGGGTTTACTCATAAACCCTGATGCTCATCTCAAAGAGGAAGCTCAGGGCCAGGTCTCAGGACCGACCTCGGCGGTGGCTGACGGGGGCTGTGAAATCTTGGTCTGTGTTCCGCAGACTTGCAGGAACGCTAATGACTGGGGCTGAGAGGCTAGGGGGTTGCAGGCCTGTGCCCCATAGAGCTGCCCATGGGAGCCAGGGAGCTTCCAGGAGCTGCCAGAAATTGTGTTTTCTCTCCTCATCAGAGGTTGCCATGGTGACCGAAGCAGGAGGAGACACCCGCTGGTCTGGCTCTACACAGATCATCTATCCTGGCTCATCTTTATTCCATGTCTTGGTCAGAGCTGGAACTGGGAGTGCCTGAGATGGGGGAATGACATCATCCAGAGACCAGACCCTTGGCACCAATTATTCGTACACAGTGGGACATTGTACGTGCATGTATATAGGTAGGGGGCAGGGGTGGGTTACATTGTTGTGTGTGTGTTCTGATGTGCAGTGGGGATGCTAGCAAGGGAAGTGGGGTGGTATCACAGGTGCATGGGACAGTAGGATCTTTCTCAAATGTACCCTTGATCTCCACCTGAGGGGAGAGCATGCCCACAGGGGCTGCATGCTGACCACACAGGAGAACCCTCCACTTTCAACATCCTGGAAGCCACTCATTTGCTGCTTGGATTATGCCTCCTATCCTCCCGGCAGCAAACCACTGTGAGAATCCAGCCATTTCTACAGAGAGTCTGAGGCTACATTTCCTGCCTTCAAGCCTTGGCTGCATCACCTGACTTCTCCCTGATTTCACTCGAGCTCACTCACGTCTGCTCCATCCACATAGAGGCCAGCTCTGACCATCCTATCGAGATGTCCCTGCTTCATTTTCCTTTGCTCTTATCACTCCTATAACTACAATGTTATATGTTGACTTGATTGCTTGTTTATTGCGTGTCTCACCCACTAGCATGTAAACTCCTTGAGGGCAGTGACTTTCTAGTGTTTACTGCTGTGATCCTAGCACTCAGAACAGTGCCTGGCACATAGTCAGTGCTCAGTAAACCTGTTGAATGAGTGAATGAGTGATTGAATGAATGAATGAATGAATGAGAACTTTCATCCCTCGGTTTGTCATTGGCCCATCTGGGAACTCCCTATTCCTCAACAATTCTAAAGCTCTGTTTTAGAGCTCAACTGAGGGCTTGCTTTCTCTCCTCAGCCCTCAACAGCACCCCGCCTTCCGGGTCATACTATGTCTGAATTCTGGCACTGGCTTCTATCATGCTCATGGCACACTGGCTGGCCTATATGACCTTGACTTGTGAAAGTGTCTTTTCTCCTTGATCTGATGTCCAGTTCCTCAATGAGAAGGGCATCACTTTCTCTTCTGTGTTCTGAGCACAGGGCTCAGGATATTTAATAAGTGCTGAAGACTGCAATGCTGTGAATCAGTGAACAAACTCACACCTCCAGATGGTTTTCTGCCCAGCAGACTTCCTGCAGGTTCATGGGTAAGACTTTCAAGGCGAAGATGTTTCTAGTGAGTCTGAATTAGGAGGCAGATGTTGTTTGGGAAGCAGGTCTCAACTCTGTGTTTTATCTTCTCCCCATAATCTCATGTTTGAATTTCACTAGGTCTTCGAGCCTAGTTCACCACCTCATTCTACAGTCTTTGCTCTTTTGGAATGGAAGCGATCACTTCCTCCCATAACACATTTTTTAAGCACTTTTTTTTTTCTACACCCATATAGGTACTGACCACTCGTCTTCTTGAATTGTATGACTTAGTTACCTTTCTGATGTACCTGTTAGGTGGTCAGATACATCATTGTTCAGCATCCCTTCTGTAGGTACCACCCCTGTATCATTTCAGGTGGTCTGGAAGGACCATGAGTTATGGCTCCCTGCCCAACACCCCTACCCCCAGAAACACTCATGTGACCCAGACTTAGACATTCCTTTTAGGTCTTACTCTGGCAAGAGTGACAGGTCCATTGGATGTACACCTGGCAAAGCAAGGCCAACTGGATATTTTCATGGGATTTAAACATAGATACTTATAGAAACAGGTTGTCTTTTCAGCTGGGAGGATCTAAACCTCAAGTTTCCAGGGTCCATCTTTCTCAGCCTCATGGAGAAAGCCCAAAGGAATAAACCTTCAGGAATAAGAAGAAAAAGGAGGAGGAGGAGGAGGAGAAAGAGGAAGCTGACATATTTCAACCCATTGGACCCAGCAGTATCATAAGACCTAAACTTCCAATTCTATGCACTAAAATATCCTCTCTTTGCTTGAGCTCATTTAAGCTGGACTTCTGTCCTTTGCCATCAAAGGTGACCTGAGTGACCTACCTACACTAGACTGTGAGACCCTAGAGAACAGTTCTTCCCCATACTACTCACAGCTACTGGCTTCATAAAACCAGATCAACTTTAATGTATATTTTCTGTATAAATAAAATAAATAAATATATTTATGATTATTGTGCCTCTATCTGAATACAAGAACAAGTGAAAACCTTAGACTCAAGAGGAAGAGGGGAGAAAATCATTACCCAGTGCCCAGCACTGTGCAAATGTCTAGTCGAATCCTTGAAATGACCCCTAGATAGGACGAGTAGTATCCCTACTTTACAGGTCACACACAGGTGAAGAAGCCACCATCTCAGCCCTACTCTACCATTGTGACCATGTCCCCAAATGGCTCCATACATAATAAAGTAACAGGAATACACGCTTTATAGTATTTCGGTGTTTTAAAGCCCAGCGTCTTTAGGAATCCCAGGAGCAAATGCTAGCACTGAAATGTTCTGATGGCACTGTTTTGTTTCCCTGTGAAATTGATCGGGGCAGGTGCAGGTGCAGGTGAGGAGGATGAGATTCAGCACCTAGTCCCTTTCTGCTGACACTGGGGGGCGGAGCTGCTGGAGCCTGAAGGTCTCTCTCCTGGACTGGAGCTCTCCGGGGAGGGCGGGGCCTGGCATCAAGGAGTCCCGGACCCAAGCAAAGTTCTGCTATGCCCAGCTGTGAAACTGTTCTGGACAAGTTATGTGACTTCTTGGAACTTTAGCAAAGTGCCTGGCATGGGATAGAAGTCATTGCATTTGTTCACTGTGTTTCTGTTGGGGGGCATGGTGCTTCAGGACCAGTCCTAGGGGCAGCTGTGATGCCTAGATCTGAGGCTGCCAGTGTGGGGGGCCCAGTCCAGGGCCCAGAGGGGGCAGGGAGCCCTAGAAACCTATACTTCTCACTCCCCTTAACTCTCCCGCTCCAAGCCACCTCCCACCCAGGGTCTTAGCATTGCTGCTGAAAGATGGGAATGAGACAACCATTTTGGATGCCCACCCAGGGGCAGGAGAGGAAAGAGCCTCTGGCCTTGGAGTCAGCCCCAGGGCCCCGTCCCACCCTGAGTTACTATAGCAACTCACTTCCCCTCCCAGGCTCCTGCTTGTCTCCCTCGGAAATGTTTTGGTGCGATGGCCTTTATACTTCCTTGTACCCCAAGCACAGAGTCTCAACCACAGCAGCTGGTGAGGTTGTCAACATGTTACGGACTCACACCCACAGGGTGCAGAAGCAGAACCACTGACTTACCTGTGTTCTCCCGGGTGTGTCTCTCAGTGCAGGTCAGTTTGCAACGTCCTGTACTAACGGTTGCACCTCAGCTTATTCAAAGCTTCTGTTTCCACACCTGCAATAACAAGGGTGATCACAGACATTTTGAAATCACGCAGCAGTTTACAATTTTTTTTTCTCCCCACACTTGATGGCCTGGGCTGGAGAGACTTTCCTGAGAGTTATATCCCAGAACAACTGCAAACCAGAGAAGTCACCAGACTTGCCTGGGTCACACAGCGCCCTTAGTGGGGCTGGCTGGCTTGGATCGATCTTGATTCCAGGTTAGTTTCTGTTGTCTAGAATATGGCAGACCCTTGCTCTGTCTCCCTGAGATATCGTGAGGCTAGAATCTATAAAAATTCTTGTTAAGACCTTGCACATTCAGAGTACTCAGTCTGTGCTAAATAATTGATGGGCTCCGCTTCTGGCCGCTGAGAGCAGACGCACAGGCCTCTGCCACAGACTGGGAATATGGAGACCTTTCCCATCGTTTTGCCCGGTGAAAGAATTTGCCGAGGAAATCACCAAGGAAGAGTTGTGCTTCCCTGTAGGTGGGCGTGGACCCTGGCTCCTGGGAGCCATAGATCAACTCGAATTTATCGCCTCACTGAAAGGAGAGGAGAAAGTGCAGGGCTGCTGCAGGGAGGGGCTGCTGGGCCGCCCAGAGGCGCCGCCACCGGGTCTTTTCCAAGGCTGCAAGGCCCTGGGAAAGGGCTGCTCCTCTCTGACAGGCGGGGAGAAAGGTGCCTGGGAAGCGGAGAGGCCAGTGGGGAGGCGTGGAATCAGCCATGGGAAAGGCAGGGTCTGAAGCAGAGATTCTCCTCCATGAAAACGCCTGACCAGGCGGAGATGCCCAGGAAGGCTGCATGTGACCACAGAAACTTTCCGACCCAAGGCCATGACAGCAGGGATTAGGGGGCAGAAAGTGGACACAGAGTGACCTTTAAAACAATTTGCAGAGATCAAAGGAGAACACAGTCTGAGCCGGTATTCTGGCTAGCAGCACGGGAACATGTCACAGCAGACGGACTCAGGGAACCATTCACAGCTAAGGACACCGAGGACGTACATCCTCCCCCTCCGCGGGCTGCGGCCCACCAAAGTGTCTCCAGAACTGTCATTTGTCTCAGCCCCCCAAACAAGGCCGATTTAGGACTGTCCAAATCCACGAGATAATTAGCTCCAGCTTCAAATGAGCAGAATCAACAAGCTGCAGCTCAAGTGGAATTTGTTCTGACAACCGCTTTCTGTCTTACTTTGGACAGCAGGTTCCAAACCCCCTGGTTTCGCAAGGACTTCCTAAGAAGTGTCATGGTGTGCTCCCTGCTGATGCAAGGCATTGTGCTTTCATAATTTGTCTGGACGTGCTGACCTCCCAGGCGGTGGAAGGGCCCTTGGAGTTTCCCTGGAAGTGGGCAGGGCCCGTCCTAATGACTCTGGATGGGCAGCTGAGGGTGGTTCCAGCCTGAGGAGCAACGTTCAGTGCCGCCTGCAACTCACCCGAGGTGCTGTGCTGCCCCTACCCTGGGGCTTGGAGAGGACCATTGGCTTGGGCACTGCACAAGCTGAACAGAAAACAGGACATGTGACCTCGCTCCACACTGCGTCAACTTGAGCTGAACTTAACTCGGCTTCCGAGCTCCCTGAGTTCACACCTAACAAAGCGGGTTAGGGATCAGGTCAGGACTGGATGGGCTGATAGCCCAGCTCTTACTAATTCTATGCCCTCGGGTCATCGATTTAACCTTGTAGTCCTCAGGTTCCTCATCCATGAAATGGGGAATCATAGTGGAACCTACCTCAAAGCCTCGGAAGGATCCAATGAGAAAGAGTGTATGCAAATTCTTAGTTTGGCCTCCAGTGAATCTGTCACCTCTCGCCCAGGACAGCATGTGGCGGGACCTCTCCTGGGACTATCAAAAGAGGGCATGGCTGCTGATCCAGCTAAGTTAGCTCAGGGGTATCTGTGTGCTCCAGAATATGAGGAACATCAACTTCCTGCCAGCCCGGTACCCTGGGCTGCACCACTTGTCTTTTCTCGTCTGCCACCCCGACCAGACTCCACGCTACTTGAGGGCAGGGCTGTTGTCTTCTGTTTCCCTGGGAGAATGTCTGTTGTTGATCTAAAAACCCTTCACAGACATGGTGAGATACCCTCTGAGGTATCACTGAGCTAGTTGCAACCACATTCCAGAAGGGGGCATTCACACCAGGACTCCCCATGCCTGGCTGGCAGCCTCATGTGGAGTCGCCACTCCAGGGACCATGGCAATCACTTTAGCCGGCTGTCTTTCCGCCAGCTCAACACCAGGGAGATAATTAGCAGAGTAAACGTTAGACATGCATTCTTCTTGGTGAAAGCAGAGGTATTCGGGATATGTGGGTTGGCCAAATGAATTTTGAGACACACTTGACTCTCGTAGGAGCAGGTGAAAGAATGTAGTAAGGCCTCAGCGGAGGTGCGGTCAGGGCGTCTGGAGACACAGATGGCCGCAGCTAGCCCACAGAACATGCTATGTGAACGGTGCTGGACCCGTTGCAAATAAAAAGTCGCTCAGAAAGTATCTGCATGTGCAGCTGAGTTTGGTGGTAGGCTTGCTTTTATTCGACCTGCTAATGAGGTCTGCCTTCACTTCCTCAAAGTTTTCAGTGGCTGCTGTCAAACAAATAAACCAAACACCAAACACAACAAAACCTGAGAGTTCTGACCAAATGGACTCAGGTCAGTTCACAGTATGGTGCGTCTCCAGGGCATAGCACATGTAAATGCTCACAGGAGAGGGAGGTAGTGTCATTTTTCACTTGATGGTGGTCAGGGGCACTGGGGCCTCAGGGCCCTGCAGTCCAGGATCCTGATCCAGACCCTCCTGGGTACTCACCCCCCTGAGAGTTCCCCAGCTGGCCTTCCCAGGCTGAAGTGCCCAGATCACTCTGGGTCACACTCACAGGCATTGCTGGTTTTCTGGAATGAGGAAATGTTGCTCAGTCTTCAAGAAACACTGAAACTGTGGCCACAGCCGAGGTCACTGTCTGGGTCCATTATGGGACAAGCCCTATGAGGAAGTCTTAGGGGACCCTTTACCAGCTCCCACACTTGGATCAGAATATCAAGGAGAATTTCTAGCCATCCTGGATAAATTGCCTTGAAGAAATGGGGGCTCAGGCTGCACCCTGGGAGAAGCTGAACTTTCATGCCTTCCTGGGGCTCTATGAAGGCTGTTGGGCAGGAACCCAGGAGTGAAGAGGCTCCAGGTGCTGAAGATCTCACTACCCCTCCACCTCTAGAGAGGAGAGCCCTTCCTTGATGGGCAGTGCCCACTGGGAGATGGGCCACTGCTCTCTGCACTCCCTTCTCTAAGGAGTTTTTCATGGGTGAGCATTTTTGAAGGTGAGGGTGGGGAGGTCCAGTACCCTTCAGGAGGAAAGAAGATGAACATGGGGCAGTGCAAGCCTCTAAGTTCTCCCGTTGCCCACCTTCTTTCTCCTTTTTTTTTCTTCCTCTCCAGAGAGAAGTGTGTGTGGGGGGCGGGGGGGGGCGGCGGCTGTCAGAGAGGGGAGAAGCGCTGTGTTTTCATACAGCAGGGCAACTCTCCTAACCTTGGAGAAGCTGTAGCCTTCCCCAGTCACGTGGCAGCTCAAACTCTGCAGGCTGATTGAAAAGCTAGCCAGGCCTTCATGTCACCCCGCTTCTAAACCCCGTTCCCACCCTCAGTCTCACCCTGCTCCCACGTACCCATTGCCCTCATTTAACACATCCTCACCCCATCAAGGTCTGCTTCAGAATTTGCCTTTCCTTCCTTCCTCCCTCCTCTCCCCTATGCAAATCCTAGGGTACATTTGCATTTTAGGAGCCATCCTGGTTTCCAATTCCTGAGTGAGAGCTCCCCCACCCCTAGTCTGTAAACCAGGGAGCAAACTGCTCAGCTTATCATTCATCGTTCACCTTTGCAAGTTAGCTCAATATCCCAGTAAAGCAAAGAGCCACCTCGGGCACAGCACAGTCCCAGAGGGTTCTGGGAATTCCAGATGCTGTTATAGGGCCAAGGGAGTGTTCCCCTAGCAAAACTTACCCAGAGAAAACCACTCAAGTATGTGAGCAGCTTAACAAGCAGTTTCTTCCTCATTGGCCTGGGGCTCTGTGGATGTATCTCAGGAAATACTTAGGTACTGCCTTAATTTACTTCCTGGACAGAGTTCCTCTTGGAGGGAGGCCAAGCTGGTGAATATGGAAGCCGGATTGATAATTTAGTGGAAATCCATGTGTATAATTGGGAAAACAAGTGCATGAGAATTTGGGGGTCTTAGGATGGGCAAGGGGGAAAACTCTTCTCTCTGCTTCAGGCCAGTGAGGCTAAAGTAAGCCAGACCTGATTACAGAGCCTTTTAGACTCCTGATACAAGAAACAGCTTTCCTTACTCCACGGGGTCTCTTGAGACGGCAAAGGACCTTCCTAGGTCACAGGATGAGCCAGTCACACAGCTCTGGGTGAGACTGGTTTCTTTCTCCTCTCTGGGCCTTTCTCCTTGGATCTTCTAAAGCAGCCACCCTTTGAGAGCACTGTCTTAGGAGTCAGGCACGTGAAGCTGAATCTCTCTGCTCTTCACCAGCCACGTGAGCTGCACCAAGTTTCTAAATCTCTTGAGCCTGGTCAGCAAAACGGGGATATTATGTCCCGTGGAAGGACAATTGTGAGGATAAAATGACCAACAGATGTAAAGGCTTCTCACGTAGTGCCTGACTGGTAAATGCGCTTAAGAAAGAAGAGCTGTCATCTTTATCCACTCTAAATACAGCCCATGGCTGCTTTGCCAAACCCCTTAAAAACATGCTGGCAGCAGCTCCCAGCCTGTGGATGCGGTCAGGCTAGAGGCGCCACTCCACCTCTGCTCTTCCAGGACTTTGCGGAGCACTCTCCACTCCCCATCTGTGCCTCGTGGGCAGCAGGACTGTTTGGGTCAGAAGAAAAGCTGCTTCAGAGCCTCGTCTCCCTTGGGCACTTTGGAGATGATCCTGTTGATGGGACCTGGGCTCATCCTATCCGGGACTCACCAGGAATGGCCGGGAGTTAGTGGAAAACAACCTGCCTTCCAGACCTTCTCAGGGGGAACCACACACCAAGGGGAATGAAAACTAGTACAGGCAATAGGTGTTGTGTGTGTGTGTGCATTTTTTTCCAAAGCAGAACATCTGACCTGGCTTGGTGGAAGGAGACAGCTGCCCATTTGCCAGGAACTAGGACCTTCCTGCCCTCTCCTAGTAACCCAACCTCATGGCTGACCTGCTCTTTCTTGAGGGCCCTTTGGGCTGTACATTCCCCCTGATTACATGGGCCTCAGCCCTACAGAGCACCCTGGGCCCAAGCGCTTTTGGTCACTTCTCCTGAGTTACATGCAAATGCCATCTTGGGGCAGGAACTTTGTCACTGGGTCTGAAGTAGACAGAAGGGACAGGGTGGGCTTGGAGATGACCAGAGGTCTGGACTAGACCTGCAGAGGCTGAGTAGGGCTCCTCCTTCTCAGACCTGGTACCCCAAATCTCCACCCTGGAGGGGGCCGCTGAGAGATGGGAGATGGAGTCCAGCCACTAGTCCTTCGCCCTCTGGGGGAAGAGCCCCAGGAGCCGGCAAGGCGGGGTGCGCACCCCGGAGTGCTCTGAGATCCGGTGCTCCTGGTGCTCCCGCAGACCCAGGCAGCTGCTCCTGCTGGCGGCCCTGAGACCTGCGGCGCCCCCGCCCCGCCCCTGTCAGCACCGCCGGCCACCGCACCCCCGACTGATTCCCAGCCCCGCTCCTGCCGCAAACCCACCTTCAGGGTGCTCAGAGGCCCCTTCCAGGGGTGTCACCGAGGTCCCTGCCTCCTCCTCCGGACGCGGGCTCCCCGCTCCGCAGCCTCTGGCCCCGGCCTCGGGGGTAAGTCGGCTCCTGCCTCCCTTTCTCTCTTGCTCCCGAGAATTCTCAGCACTATTCTTTTTTTAAGGGACTTTTTTTTTTTTTTTTTTTTTTTTTTTGCGTTGCGTCAGGACGGTTGCCTGGCGACGGCAGAGCTATTCCGCCGCCAGCCCTTTCAGCCGCGGTCCCCTTCAGCCTCCCATTCATGCCTCTCCTCCCGCGGCTCCGGACCTGGGCGCGCAGGGTCCGGACGCGCACCGGGTCCTAACGCCCGGCTTCTGGCACGTTCCGGCCCAAACCCGCCCGGAGCGGCCTCCTTGCCACACACATTTGCCAAACCCTAGATGAAACCAAACCCAAATGTCCTTTCTTTTTTTTTTAAAACCCGAAACCAAAGCAGTTTCCCCATACGCACGGCAGCGTGGCTTTGCCACTGTCAGCAATTTGCCTGCGTGGAGGGACAGGAGAACCCCTTCGGGCCTCGTCAAGCCCAGAGCTGACACTCCACCCACAGGCGGCTTGGGTTCAGACTATCAGCAGCAACTCTCAAGACCCAGAGCCCACCATGTGCCACACTGTCAGAGCGACTCCGCGGGCAGAGGTGGGCATTTCCAGCTTACAGATGAGGAAACTGAGGCTCAAGAGGCTGAGCAGAAACCAGAAATGAAGCAGAAAACAGACGTTCTTCCAGATCTGTCTCCCAGACCAGCTGGGAGTAGTTCGAGGGACCTGCCCCAAAGCATGTGTTTCCCCCACTAACCACAGGGTGCCTCATGACATATAATACTCTGTGCTGGGTCAACCACTAGAGATGGTTATATTTTAAATCCAGCTGCTGCTCCACCAGAGCCTAGAGCTCCAGGTACCCAAGACACATATAGGACAGCAGCCAAGGCTGCCCCATCCTGGCATTTAGGATGGAGCCTGACTACAGACAGGGGACTCTAGTCCAGATCCCTGGGCTCCACCTCCTCCTAGGACCTCTGGCCCCAGGGCGATTACTGGAAGTTGCCTCATTCTCAGGGCAGCCTGAGACATGACCAAGTTCCTTTCCTAGCTGCTTAGGGTTGGCAAGTCCTTCAAAGTTATCTACTCTGCTATGCTCACAGTAGCACTGGGGGTGCAGGGCAGGTGTCTTTATTTCCCAGGGCACATGTACACGCTGAGGCATGGAGCTGCGAAGTGACTTGCCCCAGAATCCACTGAAAGTGTCTGGGTTTGTTTTCTGTAGGGACTGGACACCAAGATGCCCAAGATTCTTATGTTGCCCCCTGGTGCCTGTGCCCTTCACTGCATCTCCCCACTGGGGCCTTGCCCTACTTCCTCTTTCCCCCTTCACTAGCATCCTGCTAATGTGAGCACTTTTTCATGCTAATGGGTTAATGCTTCTAAGCTTGCAAGTGTTCTTGAATAGGGGTCTTTTGGAGAGTCATAGCATCCACCTAACCTCTTGATTCCAGCTCCTAAATATCGATGCAGTCTTCCACTTCTTCCACCCCCTCTGCCTCTGCCAAGTCACCATCAGCTTGCCCAACCTCCAGCAGTAGCCTCTTATTGATGCCCTGCACCCACTCTTGGCTCCCCACCTGCCTTCCCCTGAGCCAGTTAAACTGGAAATCCAGCCCTGGCTTCTCCCTGCCTAAAGCCCTCCAACAGCTCCCACTCCTCCCAGGATTAAAACCCAGCATGGCTGACCAGGCCTGTGTGGTCCAGCTCCGCTCACCTCTTGGACCTCGCCTTGTGTTGATGCTCTGCTCTCCAAACAGGTGCTCTTCCAGGTCCTTTTACACACCTGCTCCTCCTACACAGAGCTGGCTGAACTTCTGCCTCCTGCGAGAACCCCAGGTTACATGTCCTCACCTATCTCTCCCTCATGGAACATCTGTCCTTTTATCTTTCCTGTGAGGTTATGTGTTTAGTATCTGTCTCCTTCCAAGGCTATAGGCTCCAGCTGGCAGGAACCATGTCTGCAAGTTGAAGGCTCCATTTAGACTTGGGGACTTGGCATCTTCCTGGGCTGACTGGCCCTTGCCACACTGCCCTGTGCTGAACACTGCTCACCAGTGTGTTCTGACCCCAGCATGTGGTAAGTGCTCCAATGTCTTCTTGGTGGAGTTATTCCACCCCATCTGAAAATGCTTTCTCCCCTCTTCAGCCTCCTAGCCCCTCATTTGGCATGGGGCTCCTGGTGCTGCTTTCTCGTGGATATATTGTCTTCCTTCTGCACATAGAGAGATAACCTGTCCAGGGCAGGATTGGTCTTACCCTCATGCTTCTCATTCTGCCTGGAGTATGCCTGTTAGTGATGAGGACCAGGAGAGCCAGCAAAGGAGGGAAGAGGTAGAGGAGGGAGAGCCAGGTCTCTGTTGGAATAGTCTCAACTCTAGTGTCTAACCAGATGCAGTGGCTGAATGAGTTCTTGGTGGGGTTCTAGCACAGGATAGTATGTAGCCATACAAATAATATTTTCAAAAAAATATTTGATAACATAGGAAAATGCTAATGATTTCATGCTAAGTAAACAAAACTGAAAAACCAAATATCTAAGCTAATAAGACATTATAAAAACTTTAATTCTACTATCCAATTCCTTTAAATGTGTAGAAGAAGAGATTGGAGGGTATATGTAAATATTAGCTGTGGTTATCTCTGGATGGCAAGATACAGGATTTTTAATGTCTTCTATAAATTTGTATTAAGTTTCTATGTTTTCTACAATAAATAGTTTCTGTAATTATCAACTTCAAGAAAGACTACTACAAAGAAAAGATGGCCCTATGTTTGTGATACCTGATGCCCCCTGCTTTGTATGAAACTGCCTTTTACATGGGAGGCTGGGCAGGAGCCCAGTGATGAGCAGGGGGATCCCCATGGCCCAGAGCAGCAGGACCATCTGGGGGCTCTTCCCCTTAGTTGGCCCTTTGGACCAGGGAACACCGGGCCAAGCCTGGGAGTCTGGACTTGGTGACAACACACTGGTTCCAGAGCTGACTTTTGGATCAGCCGCTGTGATCCCACTTGTCTTGTAAGATGTAATGTGTGAGATGGCTGCCCCAGGGGTCTGGACAGCCTTAATGAGTGCATATGTCAGCCAACAGCCCCCTCACTGACATTAGCACAGCACTTTGCAGGTTACAGAACAGTTTCCTTTCCAGTGGTCCCAAGATGAATGAGACAGTGTCTCTTTTGGGCCAACAGAAATCCTGTGATATAAGGGAGTCCAGAAACATTTTCCTTATCTTACCTACAAGGACACCAAGCTTGGAGACGTTCGAGGCTTACTCAAAGTCACACAACTAGAAGTGGTGACTCCCAGGACCGTCCAACTCTGAGTCTAGGGGACTTCATATTGCACCACACTGACCCTGCAGTCCCTCCGAGTAAGGGCAGGGCAGCCTCAGTGACCATAGTGTGCTTGATCCATGCACAGTGGGCAGGGATGACTGGATTAATAGGGTGACGTTTGAGCAAAGATTTGAAGATGTAGGAGTTCGCCATGAGGTACCTGGAGTAAGGGTGTTCTAGGCAGAGGGAACGGCCAATGCAAAGCATGCCTGCTTCAGCCAAGGAAGAACAAGGAAGCCTCACGCTGGAGTGCAGTGAACAGGGCAGTGGTGAGACCTGTGGGAGATGATGCCAGGGAGGTGACAGGGCGGTAGATCCCGTGGACCTAGCAGACCATTGTAAGGACTTGTCTCCCCCAAAAGGAACACTGAGGATGCACAGCTGGGTTGGGTCTCTGCCTTCCTGGCACTCCCACAGTACAAAGCACTCTCTAAATTAGTCTTACCAATTCCCAGAGGAGTTTTTTTAAGTTACACAAGGGCAAACTCAGTTGTCTATGGCTCCTGGGTATCCTTCATGGTGATTAAAATTGGATCCCTATGGACTGAATGAGAGAAGGAAGAAATAAATTTCTGTTTGGCTCTATTGTAGGGAGGACATGGAGGGTGGTGATACCCTCCCTTGCCCCAGGGAGCAATTAGGTCTCACAGTCCTGGGTCAGAGTCCATTAGCTTCTACCATCTGCCTTTGAGAGGGACTTTTCTATCTGGGGCCCCAGCGTTTCAAGAGGATCCAGGAAATGTTTGGCATTTGGCATTGAAGCTGTTATCAGGAATGGCTTTTCTCTGCCCTTATCTCTCAGGAGGGGTTGAATCAGACTGAATCACAGAAGACTCCCATCTTGTAGGGGACCCATTAGTTCAATGAGCGGTGTGGGTGGCTCGCTGTGTGCCACCGGGTGCTAGGCATGGGGACACAATGCCTGCAGCTTATTTGTATAGGAAGATCATTTGAAAAGCAGGCACCTGAGAACTGGAGTCAGGGAGGTGACAGCTGCCCTCTGAGTCTAGATGAAGAGGAGGAGTGGGAGCTGGCTAGGAGCGGGGCGGGGGGGGGGGGGTTGAAGTAGAGCATGGCAGCAGAGGACATGGCATGTGGAAATCAAAGAGGATTCGGCGTGGCTGAGAAGAGTGCAAGAGGGTGTGATGGGCCGGGTAAGGTCTGTGGACTCTGAAGGTGAGGGGTTAAGCAGGGAGCATGTCATGGCTTTTATATCTCAGAGAAGCTGAATGGATCAGGGGACAAGACAGGAGGCAAGGAGACCAATAAAGAGAATGTATCCATTTTAAAAGCAGTGAGAGGCGATGGAAGTCCAGACCCACAGCAAGATGTGGCTCACTGTGTTTCCCAGGTGATGGTGGGCAGTGGGGAAAGTAGCACTGGGAAGGGGACAAGCAGGGCGTCTGGAGGCAGGCAGACCCAGGTTCGAGTCCTGACTCTTCTGGTTACTGGTGTGTGTGCCTGTAAGAAGTCACTCAAGTTTTCTGTGCTGCAGCTACTTCATCTATAAAATGGAAATCATTTAAATAATACTGTTTGGGGGTTCCAACTTGGCTTCCCTGAATGTCGGTGGCCCTCACACCAGACTGGCTGAGAGGCAAGGTGCGAGTCAATCAGGAGCCGGTACAGCGGCTCCTGGAGGAGAATGACCCGCTGATCAGCTGTATCACAGAGGATCAGAGCAAAGGCCAGGTGGACGAGTGTGCCCCGTGCCAACACGCGTTACATATACATCTCATTTATTTGGCTACCATTGCAGATGCCAACCCAATCAGCCCTTCAGAAGTAACAGAAAAATCTTCCAGTTGGCTCTTGTGAGGAGTAATTGAAGGTAAGCCACTTCCGGTGATACAGAGACAGGATCTTTACCAACTCAACTGCTGAAAATATGAAGGACATCTCTGTGGCTCTTTTTAAAGTGTAAAATGTGAAGAACTCTACTAAATTAACTATATTTCCATGTAAATATTTATTTCAATAATTAAGCAGATTCCCTCAATGAGGTTGCCTCCTGGGTGTTTTCTTTCCTGACATAAAATAGGTTTGGATAAGAAAGATCTCGTGGGCATCTTTACGCCCACCTTTCTAGTTTCAGCCTGAAGAGGAAACTGAGCAGGTGCTTGGGCGCAGCAGGAAGTGAGAACATGTAACTGTGTCCTCCTTTCTACTCGTTTGTAGTTCTGGACCCCAGCTGCTCTGTTCAGGTTGCTTTGAAATAAAGTGAGCCTCTCCACAATTAGTCAATCAATTAATCAATCAATCAATCAATCAATAAAACTTCATATACATGGGTACGAAGGCCTGTCTTGGACCCTGTACTTTAGAAAGCCCAGTTCTGGGCTCCCTTAAGGTAAGGTGGCCGTGGGGCCAGGGAACATGCCTACTCACTATTCACTCCTTTTCTTCTAGCGCATGCTCCAAGGATCAGGACCCGGAACTATTCTGGCCAAATGGCCCACATTCAGGCTTGTGCAGGCCTCTTTCCTGGTCTGTGGAGTGTGGGTGAAGTTTGGACTCTCAGTCTGGGGTGCCCCTGCCTAAGCACAAGGGTCCGCAGGTGGGAAAAGAAAGAGGGAGGGCCATAGGTAGGGCTGAAGCCTCACTCCTCCTGACCCTACACACTCCAGGGTCCAAGGGTGCAGAATTGTAACCTGCCTTTGAGGCTGTTATAAAGGTATATTTTTCAAGACAAGAGGAAAGGACAAACAGTGCCTCCCAGTTTGTTAGCTTGGTTTATAACTCTCAAATATTTAGACACATGGCATGGGAGCCCCCGTTTGCGTACTTGCTTTGGAGCTCTCACATGTTAGGGGTGGGCCTGATTGTGGGCCTGGCTTGCTGGTGGGTTTAAGAACGAGAGACGCTATACACAGCACACAGACATGAGTTATTACCATTCGAATCACTCTCCTCCATCATGGCATGTCGGCACCACCAGCAGTTCGCCCTTTTTTCTTGTGGACACTTGGAGGAATCAGCATCTGGAAGAGGCTGCAGAGAGTCTTTCCAGGCCCAGGCCCAGCACATCCTGGTGACAAATGGAAGGAGGCCTCCCTGGGCATGCGCAGCATTTGAAGGAAATCAGAAAGGATGCCACTAACAACTGCAGTGAAACAGCCCTGATGGGTGGGGGACACCTTCTAGATTCTTCTAAGCATCATCTCACCTGAGGAGCCAGGCCCTTTTGTTTTGTTGTAATGTGTCTTTATTGTTAAGCGGTTACAGATACCCCTCCTGCCCCTGCCTTTTGGAGCCAGGCTCCTTTGAACAGTGGAAAGAACCCTGGATAGGAAGCAGGAGATCCAGGTTCCAGACCAGGCTCTGTTACGAATTAGACCTTTGTCAAATCACTTTCCCCAGTGGATGGTTTCCTCATCACTGGCACAAGGAAGTCAAGCTTTGGCATCTTCTGACCCAGGATTCCATGATGCTCCCCACCCACTGAATAGAATGCTGGGCAGTGGCAGGAGGCAGAACCATAAACTGCAAAGTGGAGGGTCCGGCAGATACTGAAAGTCTGGGGTAGCGAGAAGTCAAGGCCAGCTGGACAGAGAGAGAGAGTCCGGTGGGCTTACCCTGAGGCTGGGGTGAGAGTTTGCAGGTGAGACACTCGTGAACAAGGCTGAACCCCCATATCCTGGGGGAGAACCTGCTTTAAATTCAGTGGGTGGGGTGGGGGAGGGGAGGAGAGGTGGTCCTAGCGGAAAAGGCAGGATGAGGAAGTCTAGGGTCTCCAACAGAACTCTGCCCCTTACTAAAGCAAACAGAGATGCCCACTTGCTTCACGAACTCAACAGCGCTCCTAGTGGTTGAGCCAACGGCTGCTGCTAATGAGTTTATGTATTATTTCCACCAGCCAGCCAATCTCTGATGACTTAGGCTAGAGATGGGTGTCAGGAGGAGAAATGCTCACAAACAGGGATGAAGTTGAACTTAACCAGTCTATCACTAAGAAAACCTAGACCATAATCATGGGCTTTAGAGGCGGGATCAAGACCAGGTTATCACAGAAGATAACGAGCGCTTGTCATCCATCATCACACAGAACTCTAGGGGAAGCTGGACTGCGGATCCTCCTACTCAGTGCCTTTCCAGGAATTCTACCCCAGTACACAACTCCCTCACTGGAAGCAGAATCTCCTTTTACTTAACTGCTCTCCTAAAATCAACTCAAAACTACTTCCCCCATAGATGTTAAAACAAATGGGATGCACACTTTTTCTCCCACCCCCTTGTGACCAGCGATTGAGGGGGTTGTGGAAGTGCAATTGACTTGAACAACATGGGGGTTAGGGCCATCAACCCCCCTCACAGTGAAAAATCTGAGTATAATTTTTGATTTTCCCAAAACTTAATTACTAATAACCTGCTGTTGACTAGAAGTCTTACCGATAGCACACAGTTGATTGATGCCTATTTTGTATGTTTATGTATTATACACTGTATTTTTACAATAAAGTAAGCTCGAAAAAATAAAACATTATTAAGAAAATTATAAGGAGAATAAAATACATTTACAGCATTTATTGGAAAAAATCTGCCTATAAGTAGACCCATGCAGTTTAAAACTATGTCGTCTAAGGGTCAACTGTATTATTATACTACACTATTCAGGTTTCGGGGAGCTTGGGTCTATTACTGGCTCCGTCACTTGTTATCAGGCTGTTTGGGGCAAATATCTAACCCTTTTGAACCTCAGTTTCCTCATTTATACATTGGGGTAGCAATATCTATCAGTATGGGTTGTTGTGAGGATTAGAATGAATGCCTGTGAAATGCCTGACATAATGTTTGGCATGGAGTAGGCACCTGATAAATGTTTCTTGTTATGTCTTGTGAGTCCACTGAGTCTTTGACTGTGCACCTGAAACAGGGCGTGCCTGTGCCCCCTTCGAGTCTAATGAACAGCATGAGCAAATATTAAACAATCAAGCTGGCAGGATCTCCAAATACCTTAGCTGCCTTATTTATGTCCTTTGAACATGAGGTAGCTCTGCTTGGAATCTGACACCAGGAAAACAGGACGGAGCATGGAGCAGACAAACATACCCCGTGGTTCGGCCACAGGTTTCAGGCACAGACTCAGAGCACTTCCCGGCAGGGGTGCAGCCAGCCACTTCAGCATGGTCGGCTGCCATTCTACTGACTAACATCTTGTGACTATGACTGTTTCTGGTTCACAGAGAGAACTGGCAGCAGACAGGGAGAGAAAAATATTGCAGGCACACAGAGATGGACGTGTTTCATGCACTCTGGGACGAGAGGAACAAGGTACAGATAACAGACTAAACCTGTGGTGAAATCATGTCTGCAGGACCCCCTCGGGTTAATGTTTCCTGATCTGATCAGAATGTTTAGCAAGCAGAATCAGCCTTCATTAAAAATGGTTATTGGGGATGATGCCTTAGGCTTATGAGAAGAAAAGAGAGAGTGAGGGAGAAGGAGGAGGGAGGAAGAAAGTGGGAGGGAAGAAGGAGGAGGGGAAGGAGAGGAAGAAAAGAGAAGGGAAGGAAACTGTTTAGAATGGGTGCGGTGGTCCGAATTTGTCCCCCAAAAATCCATATGTTGAAATCCTAACACCCAAAGGTGATGCTCTTAGGGGATGGGGACTTTGGAAAGTTATTAGATCTTGAGTGTGAAGCCCTCGGGAATGGAATTAGTGACCCCATAAAGAGACCCCAGAGAGCTCCCTCTCCTCCACCACGTGAGGAAATGGGGAGAAGGCACCAGCCATGAACCAGGAAGTGAGCCCTAACCAGAAGCAAGTCTGCTCATGCCTTGACCTTGGACTTTCAACCTCCAGACTGTAAGAAATAAAATTCTGTTGTTCATAAGCTCCCCAGCCTGTGGAATAAGATGTGTGTATAAGTGACCAAAGGAAGAACTTTTGTTAGAGCAGCCCCAACGGACTAGGACAGTGGGACTGACATGTTCTTCTCCAGTGGCCTGGTGTCCTGGAGCCCACAGCCTGTGAAGTGAACAGGACACTGTCAGAGTGAACTGCTAGTCCCAGTCTTCCTCCCGCGCCCTCCCGAAGGCCTTGGTCCATGCAGGCCTGGGTGGTCCAGCTGTTGCAGGAAGGGCCAGGTCATCCTGGGGCTAAGAGTTCTGCAGCCAGCCCTGGCAGTGTGGCTCTATGGTTGGAGTGTTGGTACGAGCACCGAAGGGTCAACAGTTCAATTCCCAGTCAAGAGCACATCCCTGGGTCACAGGTCTGATCCCTGGCCCTGTCAGGGTGTATGTAGGAGGTAACCAATTAATGTGTCTCTCTCACATCAATGTTTTTCTCTCTGTGTCTCTGTCTCTCTCTCTCTCTCTGTCCTTCCCTCCCTTCTACTTTCTCTAAAAAAAAAATCAGCGGAGCCCACCCAGTGTGGCTCAGTGGATTGAGCATGGTCGCACGGATGGAGAGGTCCTGGTTTGATTCCCAGTCAGGGCACATGCCCAGGTTTGGGGCTCAATCCCCAGTAGGGGGCATGCAAGAGGCAGCCAATCAATGTTTCTCTCTCACATTGATGTTTCTATCTCTCCCTTCCTCTCTCTGTAAAAAGAATCAATAAAAACATATTTTTAAAAACTCAATGGAAAAAAAATATCCTTGGCTGTAGATTAACAAAACAATGAGTTCTGCAGCCAAGCCCCACCTGTGGCAACCCCCACCTCAGGACAGTCTCATCACTCCTCCTCTTTGTAGGATCCACTCTCTCCTCCTTGGACCTAACCTCAGTTTCCTCAGCCGTGGGCGCTTCTGCATCCTTGCAGTCAGGTGCTGAAGGGGTTGGATTATTTTTGAAGTTTTCCAATTGGGAAAAATGCCT